GCCCCGGGGGCAAGTGTGCAACACAAGCCTCCCCTGGCGGGAGTGTGCGAGGCTTGGTGGGGAACGTGTGCAGTGTACTTGTGAGCGTGCAACTCCCTAGTTGTGAGTGTGCACCCCAACCATGCACATGCCCCCACCCATGAGCACCCCTTGCACACCTGTGAGTGTGCAACCCCCTCTCAGCCCCCCTCCTCCAAACCCCTGTCCCATGGTGCCCAGCTGAGCCCTGTGTGTGCCCTCATGTCCCACAGGTATGAGCTAATGAGGCCCTCGCACACTCACTTCCCCTTTTGTACTTACCCCCTTGCACACTCACCCCTTGCATACTCCCCCATGTACACTTATGCCTTTTGTACACTTCCCCTTGTACTCACCTCTTGTGCACTCACTACCCTCTTGCACACTCATCCCTTGCACACTTCCACCTTGCACCCCCTGCACACTCTCTTCCTCTTGCAGTCACCCCCTTGCACACTGTCTTTGCACATTGATCCCCTTGCATACATACACACCTCTCGCACACTACCCCTGGCATACTTACCCCCTTGTGCACTCAACCTTTGGCACACTCCCCCAGCACACTCCCCCACTTTCACTCCCCCCCGGCACACTCACCCCTGGCACACTCCCTCCCCCAGACCGGGCAGGCGAGCGGCGTGACGTGTGCTGGCAGCGCCGGGGCGAGGACGGGATGTGCGGGGGACCGCTGGGCGCTGGAGCCGTCACCTTCCACGAGTGCTGCTGCCGCCGCGCCCGCGCCTGGGGGCACCAGTGCAGACCTTGCCCCCCCCGTGGCCCCGGTGAGCTGCTTGCACGCGCAGGGCCCAGCCCGGGGGGTGGGGGGGACCTGATCCTGGCAGTCCAGACCTCATCCCACTGTGGGTGTGGGGAGGCCTGATCTTAGTTGGGGTGTGCTCCTGATTTGGGCCCAATCCTGGAGTGGGGGGGTGATCCTGACAGGGGGGTGGTCCCAATCCTGGGGGGCCTTGATCCTAGTAGGGGAGGTGTGGTCCTGATGTGGACCCAGTCCTGGGATGCCAGCTGGTTTGTTGGGGGTGGGGGGGGCTGATCCTGGCAGAGAAGCGCGGTCCCGATCCTGGGGTTGGGGGCCTTGATCTTGGCAGGGCAGTGTGGTCCTGATCCTGGGGCGTGGGGGGGGGCTCCTGACCCTAACAGGGGGTTGTGGGGGGCAGGGGCTTGATCCCAGGGTGGGAGGTGTGATCCTGATTCAGGCCCATCCTGGGACACCAGCCAATTTTGGGGGGGAGCAGTCCTGCTCCTGGAGGGTGCCGGGGTGCGGGAGGGCCCTGATCCTGGCACAGGGCTGTGGTCCAGATCCGGGCCCACTCCTGGGGAGGCGGAGGGGGGCCGGGGCTGCACATGGCTTGACTCGGGGACGCCCGGTCCCCCGGCAGGGCAGCAGTGCCAGTCGTCGCAGAGCGAGAGCAACTCCTTCTGGGAGATCAGCCCCCTCTTCCTGGGCAAGGGCCGCAAGGGTGAGTGCGATGGACCCTCGAGGCCTGACCCCCCGGTGCTGGGGCCCTCCTTTGCAGGCGTAGGGGGAGCTGGAGGTGCTGGTGGGATGTGGGGGGAGTAGGGCCCTTGGTGGGGCTGGGGGGTGAAGGAGGTGTCGGGGTGGTGGGAGTTTGGGGAGCAAGGGCCTGATCTGGGTCTTTTCCTACTGCAGCCCCCAGGCCATGGGCAACCTTCACTTTTCTGGGCAGCGTCTGGCACGACAGGGCCTCGGTCCCGGCCGGGGGGGTGTTGTACAGCACCCGGCACCCCCCGATCTCGGCCTGAGGGAGCGGGCAAATGAGCGAACCTGTGCCTCTTTCTGCCCCGCAGCTGGGACAGTTCCTGCAAAGCAAGGTTTTCGGCTACATCCTGTCCTGGGCCTGTCGGCGCTTCTTGGCTGAGCGCCTCTGCTAACACCAATGTCCCTGCCAGCCCCCGAGGGCATGGACATCCCTCCTGCGCCAGCCTGGCCCCAGGGCGGCCCTGCCCCGCACTCCCCTCTTCCAGCAATAAAGCCTTTAGCCCCACAGGGGCCCCTGAGTACGGTTTGGATCTTGTTGGGGGACGGGGGGGTGGAAAATGTTGCTGTCGCGGGCAACTTCGTGCACACCTGGACGCACCCGTCCATCTGTCCGCCCGGCCGGGGCGGGGCCCCTCTGTCTATCCGTGTGTCCCCTGGGTGCTTCCCTCGCTCCTCGGCTCTGCCTTGCCTCACGCCACCTGCCCGTCCTGCCCCCGTGTGCAGGCCCCCTGCCCACCCCTCTGGCTTCTCCTTGCTCCACCCGCCCCCTTGCCCCCCCCAACCCCCACGTCCGGGATGAGGCCACAGCTCACAGCCTGTGCCGGGCCAAGCCCTTTATTGGTGCAAGGAGAGAACACAGGAGTGTGCTGCACGGGCTGACGTGGCCCCACGGCTGGGGGGGCCAGGCTGATGTTCGTCCCGCCAGGCTGGGCTGGGGCTCCTGGCTACTAGGACTCTCGCAGGAAGACGTAGACCCCCACGACAGCAATACCCATGACACACAACCACGGCGAGACGCAAAGCAGCGAGCCAACAACCACAGATGTCACTCCATCTTGGACCTGCAAGACACGGAGGAGCCGGTTACCTGAGCTGCACAGATGAGCAGGTGGCAATCAGGATCCCCTGCCCTGCCCGCACTGCCCGAGCCCCCCAGGCTGGGGTCGGGGCCCTGCAGAGGCACCGCCTGCGGCCCCACGCACGCTCGCCCCGGGGCTGGCACGCACCTGGTGGCTGATGCTCCGGCCATAGCGCAGCTCGGTGACAAAGTGCTCGCAGTTCTGGAGGAAAACGTTGTAGAACATCTTCTTGCCCACCTCTGCCTCGGCCTTGGCCAGAATCTCCTCCACCGGCCGCGGGGCGCGTGTCTTGTCATACTTGTTGTTCACGCGGTACTTGCCACCCCTGAGGATGTCCCGGAGACGCTCCTTCTTCACCATGGCCCTCCCGGCCGAGCTGGACGAGAGCCAGGCGGGGCTGGCCCCTCCACGCCCGTCTGGTGGGGGGCAAGGGAGTGCAGTGAAGCCCAGCCCCTCCACGCTGGCTGCAGGCCCTCAGCCAGGAGACCCTCGCCCAGCAGAGCCCACCCACACACACGGGCAGATCTAGGATCACGAGAAGGGGGAAGCAGGCGGGCCGAGGCACCCTCGCAGCTAACAGCACACGCTTTTCTCCAGGTAAGAAGAAATTAGAAGCTTCACTAATACACCAGGGGCTGCTGTTCCCTTGAAGGTCCCCCCCAAACAAAGATGCCACGTGTCCACCCCAAGACCGTGCGGGGGCACAGCTCCTGGCCGGCCTGGCCACCTACACCTCTGGCTGGGGCAATGCAGGCAGGGG